ATTCAGGGCACATGCCTGGGTTGCAGGCCAGTTACCAGCAGGGGACTCATGAGAGGCAACCATACATTGATGTTTCTCTCCCACTCTTTCTCCTTCCCTTCCCCTCTCTCGAAAAATAAATAAAATATTTTTAAAAAAAGGGACACACACACACACACACACACTCCCCACCCCCCCACAACAGAAAGATAATTCTCTACATGCATTGTTATCCTAGCTGTGAACCAAAAGGTCGCTGGTTCAATTACTAGTCAAGGCACACACCTGGGTTATGGGCCAGGTTCCCGCTTGGGGCATGTGAGAAGTAGCCAACTGATATTTCTCTTGCACATTGATGTTCCCCTCTCTCTCAAAATAAATTTTTAAAGATTTTATTTATCTTTAAAGTGGAAGGGAAGGAGAGGGAGCAATATCAATGTATGGTTGCCTCGTGCATTCCCTGCTGGGAACTGGCCTGCTACCCAGGCATGTACAATCAGACCTCAATCCTTTGGTTTGCAGGCCCGTACTCAATCCACTGAGCTACACCAGTTGGCATTTTTTTTTAAGCTGAAACTTATTAAAGGCCAAAGCATTTAACAAGTCTACAAATTCATATGAAGATGTTTGGTCAGAGGGGAAACTGCTGACATTCCTTAATTGTATAGTTCCCCCTCCCACCAGAGGGTTACATTTCACCACTAGGTGTCCACAAGGGAGTAAATGCTGCTTTAAACTTACCTATTTCAAGTCACTTTCACACACACATTTCACTCCCTGGTTAAGCAACTGTATTATATCAATTTACATGAATCTTAAATGCTTTGAGTTCTACAATATATTGTACCAACGTAGCGTAAGGTCTTCTTCACTGGCTTTTATTGGTTTGTCCAAAAAGTCCACTTTGCTTTTTCTGTAAAATAAGACATTTTTCATTTTCATGAATAACTATTGATTTGGATATTTTGAGTATGTCAGCTATCCCACATACACATAGTATGAGATTGACTGTTCTCAGTGTCTTAATTTGATCTCTATCAACTTCAACTCATCTACCCGAATGCGGAGCATGGTCCAGCCGAGACATCTCCAGCACAAAATTTTGCAAACCACTTTTGACACATTCCATCAGACCTTCTCTGTACACTGCACAAATCTTTTTGCATTTCAGTTATTTTTTTACCTTCCTTGAAATAACAAAGTATAATACAAAAATGGTGTGGAATTCTTCCATCTTCAATATTAAAATGGCTATACAAAAGTTCACAAATTTTCATGTTTTTTTTAAATAAACGCTGATATGATACCTGTCACAAAGCAATCTAACGAAATTGTTTTGAATGAAGTTAAGAACAACTAAGTGCTACTAGAGCCATTTTACAGAAAAAAAAATGGATCTTTTGGCCAACCCAATATTTATCATAAGACGTCTTTACTTAAGGATAGAATCTATAGAACTGCATTCCTTAAATTCATTATTCTTAAGTACAGCCAGGAACTTCAGGATAGACTAGACATTCCTTTATTGATCTTCATTTACTTGAGGAAGTTGTGAGCACTTTACAGGAAATCTAATCTAGATATTTTTCAAGTTATTTTTTATTTTTCTAGGCACAAAAACAGTTTTTCTTTTAACAAAACCTTATATGAAACTCTTTGACTGATGGATGGGGGCAGGGAAAACCCACACATAATTATTAACTAAGAAAAAGTCATTCTACTAATATAGTTAGGTTATAAAAATACCCAATATTTTAAACTTCAACTCTGAAAAATTCCCAATTTCTACAATTAACATACCAGCCATCAAAGCAGAGAAAAGATCAGACCTATTTTACTGGATCCCTCTTTCACCATAAGGAACAAAAAATCCCTAGAAATTGTACTTTGGATCTGCTCCACCTTTAGTCACTCAACTTTATTTTCTGCAGGAGAATGGTGAAGTATAAGGAGTGTCACAGGTCCCACAGGACAGAACAAATTAGGAGAAACTATTCACTAATGACATAAAAGAAACTATTTCTTTGAAAGAAACTTTTCTTTCAAAGTAGAAAACATTCACTGATGACATTGCTGTAAATGGTACTAGGCACTTTACACAAGTTATTTAATCCAACAATCGTCCCACAAAATAGCATCCCCATTTTACAAATTAAAAAAATTGAGATTCTGCAAGATTTAAGTGACTTGCCCAAGTTAAAAAGAGTCAGCATTCAACTCTTCAGCTGCCTAGCTCCAGATGTCTTTCCTTAACCCCATCAAATTCCAGAAGTGTCTTTTTCATCTTGGCTACTCTTGAACTAACTTCACATTAGCAACCAACTATCTCTGCACCTAACAGCACTGTATTCTCAAGCTGTTATAGGTACTTCAATCCATCCCTCTCCTTTCTCTTCATCCTGACTAGGAATGTCACCTATACCCAAAATATCATTTATTACTTAACATTAGAGCTAGGGAAGAAATTCTGAGGTCACCAAGTACAAATCCTTCATTTTTCAGAAGACAGCCTGTACCTAGAGGTTTTATATATTCTAGTCTCACCATATAGCATTTTGAAAAAATATGTATTACCTTTATATCACAGGAGGTTCCTCCTGAACACTGAATAGTCATTGTCCCATTTAAAAAGGTTTGTCTTTGCTGAAGGAAATACCATCCCTGTTCTATTCCTCCCAAATCTCTTCTTCTATGGGTCCAAGCCAGCCTTTGTCTCTAACATACTGATTTCCAATACTAAATGTGGAGATGGTAAGTTTGCAGCGACTGAGCAAGTAAACTTTTGGGGCTACAGTTAAACTGCCTGAGTCTACACTATTACTCTAAAAAAAACAAGTTTTGCATATCTTGGTCATCACCAAGTTGGAAGGATTCAAAGGCTGAGAAACAGCATTCTATCTGGTATTCACTATGTTTGCTTCTGTATGAATCACACAGGACTGCAAGCTTATGAGCTGGTCTACAAAGTCTGTGAAGCCATCAAACACGCACCGGAAACTCTATAAACATAAAAATGAACAGGAAAAACGGATCAAGGCAACCCACTCTAGAAAATAGGAATTGGGTCAGGGGAATGAAGCCAGGAAAATTAGCTAGAGACATGGTAAACACCTACTCAGTAAACAGTGTTTATAACTATTTACAAAGGCCCATTACTAAGTGCAGTGAATGGAGCACAAAAGTACAATAAATACTATGTAATAAGTGAACACATGCCAAAAATTACAAAATGGAAACTAAAGAAGAGATTCCATCCTGGAAATGCATTTGCTGGGGGAGAAAAGACTTGCCCTACAGGAGGTTTGGGTCCTCTCCTTTTAGAAATACAAGTAACGAGGCTGATACAGGATTAAATGCACTGACCGCCGAGTATGGAAAACCATACACTTGCTGTGAGACTCTGAGCAAGTCCCTTTCACATTTCTTCGTCCCAGTTTCCCAATCTATGAAATGGGGACGACATTTCCAACTCCAAAGTATGGACAAAATTACAATAACATACAAAAAGGACACAAAGCTCCCACAAATACAACTGCTTTATTGACATCACCACCTGTATGTCTCATAAGCAATCTCAAATAGGCCCAGGATAAAATTTTCAATCATCTTCCAAACCCTGCTCATCTTTCCCATCTCAGTAAGTGTAACTACATTAATACCCTGTGAGCCCCTCTCTCTCTTCCTCCACATCCAACCCATCATCCAGTCCTATCTATGCTAAGCCCACATTATCACTCACTTCTACCTGTACTGTCACCACCCTATTCTAAGCTACAGTGATCTTTCACATGATTTACCACAGCAGCCAAAAGGATCTCTAGGCTTCCACTTTTGCTCTCTCCAATTTAAGCCAAACCATCTCCTTAAAAACGTAACTATATCTTCCTGGCACCTTCCCATCTCTAAATCCTTTGTTAAGCTGCGCATTATTCTCTTTTTAAAAAAATACATTGTCATATATTTATTTTAAGAGAGGAGAAGGGAGGGGGAGAGGGAGAGAAACATCAATGTGTGGCTGCCACCTGGCCTGCAACCCAGGCATGTGCCCTGACTAGGAATCCAACCAGCGACCCTTTGCTTCACAGGCCAGCACTCAATCCACCGAGCCACATCAGCTAGGGCAAGCTGTGCATTATTCTTAAGAGGCCAAACTCTTAAACCTAGTTTTCAAGGCCTTATACAATCTGTCCCCTGCTTCCTTCTCAAGCCACTGTCCCGATGCCTGAATTTGGTCCAGCACACTGGCTTTTTAGTAGTTCATCAAATGTTAACGCTACCTCCTCACAAACTCCTACTCATCCTTTGGGTCTCATTCCAAACTTGGGCCCTCTTTCATTATTCATTACACTCTATTACACCCTCACAGCAACTGAAGTACTAATTTACTTCATTACATACATACATGTCCGAAATCACAAACGGTTATAAACCCAACTAAACTGAAAGTTCCACGAAGGTGGGCACCGTTACCTGGTTCGCCTCACTATCCTCAAAAAAACCGAGTCTGCACACAGCTTAGGGCCAAATATTTGAATGAACCCCACTAAGGTGAAGAGAGACAAAGTAGCTAACTAAAATTCCTTACTCAAAAAGATAAAGTTCTAACATATCATTTTGCTTCAACACTCTCCACCACTGCTCTGAACAGATTAGACCAACCACGCATGGGATCAGATACTGCAAGTCTCAAACCTCAGCCAGCCATGTCTTGCTTCTCCCACCTCCCCTCAAAGTCCCGGGTCCAAGGTGAACCCATCTTAGCTTTGAGGCGAGAAGGAACGTGCCTCTTCTGCCCCTGCGAGTGGGGCAGAAGTTTCCTAATCCGGAAGTCCTGGCCCGGGGTCTGAAAGACTACTAGAGACAGCCGTGACGCATGCAGGCCGGAACACTTCGTCAGCTGTGAAGCCGCGACACGCTTCCTTAAAGCTGCTCAGGAGCAATTTAAACCTCGCGACCTGGCCCGAACGCCTAGCCGCGCGTCGCAGACCCTCAGAAGTTCACTCAATTCAAGGAAGACTTACGCAAAAGACGATGATCCAAGTGCCTCGCCCTTTAAGAAACACCCCCCATTCGAGCCTGGCGTGGCTCTAAGTAAATTCTCGCGAGAGCCCCAGGATTACGCCCGCTTCCTATTCTCCGCTTGCCGGGCCGGAAAAAAGACGGCACATCCCCGCCCCCGGCCTTACCTCACAAGGAAGCGCGGTTTCAGCTGTGGCCAATCGGCAAGCTCATTGTTGGTCACTGCGCAGAGAGCCAATGGAAAGTCGCGGCGCACGCAGACCTTTCTCTTTTCCGCACCGACCCCCCTCTTTACCTCCCGCCGCCTTCCACTCGGCCCCCCTGGCGGAGGAAGTGATGTCACAGGCCCCATGTGAGCGGATTGCAACACATGCAGCTGCCTGGAGAGAGGGAGCCGGTGTCCTACGTCAGAGCCGCCGCCGCGGAGCCGCCGCCGGGGAGGAGCAGCCGCTGCCGCCCAGGACTGGGCCCTTAGGTAAGCCAGGGGGAGGGAAAGGCCAGAAATCATCACAGCGAGTCGCGCGGGGCGGAAAGAGGAGGGCCTCTCTGGGGGTGGCACGGAAGGGGGCCGCTCTGCCCCAGTGGCGGCGCTAACTCTGTGGTCTTGGTGTCTCCGGGCCCCGCCGGGCCGCTCTAGGGAGGAGGAGGCGAGAAGATGGCGGACGACCCCAGTGCTGCGGACAGGAACGTGGAGATCTGGAAGATCAAGAAGCTGATTAAGAGCTTGGAGGCGGCCCGCGGGTGAGCGCTGCGTCCAGACCCCCCACCGTGCCCTCTTGGTACCCGGACCCCTCAGGATGGCCGCCCCCGCGCCGCATGGCGGGATGAGAAAAACCAGGCACTAGCCAACTCCCGCCTTCTGGACCTTTGGGTAGTTGTTCCTGACCCAAGAGCTAGGGTCTACATGACTGACCCGAGAAGGGGTCCTTCCCCCGCTTGTGGGTAAGAGGCCAGGCCTCGGGGCTCGGACCTCTCGCTTCTCTTGTGGCAGGCCATTGGTACTTTTGTACCCCTTCTAGGCTCTTGAGTCCAGCTTCTCTCCCTTAGAGGTCCAGGTGCTGCCACGCACCTCGAGTGCTGTTGGGAGAAAGAGCTCAGCCTTCCTTTCCTGAACGCCCTTCCCTGATTTCCTCCCTTCCTCTCCTTTCACACTCCTTAGTCAGGCCTCATTAAAATGGCCTCTTTCTCTGGGGCTTCTGGGACCCGGTTGGGTGAAGTTTGCGAGGGCCAGGAAGGAAAGGTGATCAGGGACAACCTCTTACTGACATCCCCCGATTTCTTTGGGTCTTGCAACTCTTCCAAGATGACTTCCTCTAAATCCTCTAATTACTCCAGAGCTTCCTGGTTTTAACTCTTCCAGGACCCACCTATAATGAAAATGCCAACGTGTACGGGGTGAGGGAGTAGGGCAGGTTTTGGTAGACTAATCTATATCTATACATCCAGGAAAAATCTGGATTATGGGGCTGCTCATATGAATTGCAGCAGGGTTCCTTTTGGCCTCTCTGAACTAGCTAGGGATAGAAGTGCCCGATGGCTTGTTGAAACTCAGAATTAAGTTAGGTGGGCTTGAGACTTCGTTTGTAAACTTTTACTAGAAACTTGGGTGCATCCACTGTGGGGAGGATAAGCTCTCTTAAAACTGATTTTTTATGCTTTCTATATATACAAATAAATGTACTTTTAAGTTACTCTTTTGGGAGAAGGTGTGTCAGACATATTCTGGTTTTCTTAATTATTTGTTCCTTTCCTAGTTGTGGGAACTTTTTACTTACGGAAAGTGCCACGAAATAAAAAGTGTTTGGGACATTACATATTTGTGGGTCTGGGCATTCTTAGAATAGCAGAGTGACTTATTCCAGGCCATTATGAAAGTTTTCAACTGAGGCATTGAACATTTTGGTTTCCAGCCCAGGCTTGGCCTTGCTTGATAGATTTGCAGTAAGATTTGTTAAGCTCTAATTGTTATACCTTATAAAGTAAATGTACTTGATTCCACGGAAGGCCCAAAATTAAGACTGGTTTGCCATAGTCTTTCGTTCTTAATGAATCGGTGACTGTTCTGCTTGGAATGAAGCTCCTGAAAGTTTGGTCTATTCAGAGACTTGGGCTTTTGCTTACTCTAATATGAACTGAAGTCACAGCTTGTGTTTTATTGTTTTTCTTTGGCTTTAATAGAATATTCAGACCTAGTTAATAATCTTACAGGGATTTGAACACAAATAGTTCAGCACCACATGGTAGAATGAATAATTATTCCCCATGTGTGAGAATACTGTAGAGGAGACGTAATATAGGTCATGACCCATAACGACGCACTACCAGGAATTAGCCAGGTTCTTTTGTTTCACTAGGATCTTCCGTTGTGTTTTGAGTATAGTTTTTTTATAAGTTGTTGCAGCGTTGTGTAAAGTTGGCTATGATAGATTTGTTCCCTTATTGGAAGCATGTTTACATATTAGAATTCACATACATTATGGTCTCTGAAGAAGTGTAGACTATGAATTCACAGCTATAATTTGCCTGTTGTCTGAGTGAAATGACATGGAAGAAATAACACTGCTTATAAATAACACTTCTTTCTACTGCTTCAGGAACCTTATTCTTAAATTTGTTCCTAGCTACTTCAAACTTTTAAGCTCCCCTTCAGAGCTTTTAAAGGCCTTTTCCCTTTGATTAGCAAAGTTCGTTAGAGATTAAGTGAAGTTCTTACAACTTTTATTTCTAGTGGTGGAGTTACTTTGGATGTTTTAGGATTAAGCTGTTTAAAATAGCTGGGGAGTAGTTTTTATCTAAACAAATAAAGTGGTTGATAATCTTATCCTACTTCGCCTCCTTTGCTTTTATTCAGGTTTTGGTTGCACCTTGAGCCCATGAAAATTTAAAATCTTGGCCATCTCTAGGTATCAGTAAGAGAGTAACAAGTTTATTCTGTTTGCTTCAGAAGTTTCCCAGTTCATACTGGGGTTTTTTTATTTGTTTGTTGCAAAGTTACATTTTCATGGCCAAGTTGTATTACAGTCAGTCAGACTCAGATTATCATAGTGTACAGTGAGAATGTTTTTTTCTTTACCCAGTGCCCAAATATTTTAAGGAGAAATGTCATGGACTTCAGGGAGAAACTGGATCTGGGTTTCAGGACAAGACTGGGGTTGTGTTCACATGTGGTTATTAGCACTAGGTAGTGAAACTTAGTGGTGGATTAATAGAATTGTGTGAGTTGAAAGGGGTGTTACGTGTATAACTTGAATTTAAGTTGGGTAGGATATCCCTATTTCATTTAAGATAAGTCTTGTTGAATGTTTCTGTTTGCTAGTAAAATAACCAAACAGTTCTTTTGGTATATAAATCCCACTTAAAGTTAGTGGGAGTTCGTTCCTGATTTATGATTTCTCCTGATATACTCTTTATAGTTGGTTTAGTGAAAATAAATGTGTTCATTAACCAAAACTAGAACTAAGGCCGTGTGAATAGAATGGTGGTTGCAGGTATTCTGACTAAGAAACTAAAGCAGGTGAATGATAGGCGGGAGATTTGGGTGGTTGTTTTTTCCTAGTGTTTCCTGAACCAGCAGGAACTAATCCCAGAAGTATGTTGGAAACTTTATAGTATTCAGGTAGTAAAGTCATAACCAGAATCTGTTCTAACCAAAGCAGTGGTGAATGTGACAGAGGAACAGACAAGGTTAATTTGCTCTAAGTTGTGTCTGTTAAAAATAATTCAGTTATCGTCAGCAGGGAACCTTGTATATTTCAGATATATTAAGGGCTGGGTCAGATAACCCATGTTTGAAGATTAGTAAAGTTTGTAAACTTCATTTGGTTGTTGTCTTTTATCTTTCGGTATTATTAAAGCTTACTGTTTAGTTAAAATAATTTGTAGCCCCGTCTGGATAGCTCAGTTGGTTAGATCTACCTGATACACTAAGGTTTCAAGTTTGATCCCAATCAGGGAAAATGCAAGAATCAACCAATACATGATGGATAAGTGGGACAACTATACTGTCTGTCTATCTCTATTGCTCTCCCCCCTCTCCCTCCTTTCTCCCTCCTTTCCCCGCTCTCACTCCTCACTCTCTCACATCAGTGAAATAAAAATAACTTTTAGATACCTTGACTTTGAAGGAAATAGAAATTACCCGGCTATACATGACTCTCCTGCCTCGAAATGTAACTTGGGGGGTGCAGGGAAACTTCTTCTCTCAAGAATTTTGATACCAGGTATATGAGTTTTTCCCCTATACAAGCAATTCTCCAGTTCTTAGCCACTGCCAGCCTAGTGTCCTACAATTCGGTTCAGTCTGACATTACCTGACTTAACATCAGTTCCCACAAGGTAAAGAACTCAATACCACAAGACTGTCCTGCTGCTGACCTACAGGTTGTAAACTTGGGGTTCATTAATTTTCTGGAATTGCCCACAGAGCTCAGGGAAACAAATTACTTGTGTTTACTGGTTTATTATGGAGGATACTATAAAAGGTCCAGATGGACAGCCAGGTGAAGAGATACATAGGACAAGGTCTGGAAGAGTCTGATTGTGGGTACTTCTACCCCTTTGGAACTAGGGTGTGCCACCTGGATTTACCAGCCTAAAAGATCAATACACCATATAGTGTATGGAATTTTATAGAGCTTAATCTGCAGCACGGCACCCCTCCCCCCCTTCCCCTTCCCCTTCCCCTTCCCCGAGGTCCAAGGATGGAACTGAAAAGTTCCAATCCTGGATACACTTGTTTTTTTTCTGGTGACCAATCCCATCCTGAGGCTATCCGGGAGCCCAACTCTAAGTCACTTAATTAGCATAAACTCAGATGTGCTCCAAAGGGGCCCCTAATAGGCAACAAAAACACTCCCACAGGGAATTCTTATTATACCATGCAATCTTTTTTTATTGCCACAAAATTTCTTACATTGTGTTGAATTAAAAGTAATTTTGAGAAAACCTTGAATAGTTTTATAAAAATCTTACAAATAATATGTACAAATTCTTAATACAATTTGAATAAAATAAAGACTATTAAGTGTGTTAGAGTATTTTCCCCAAGTGAAAATTGTTGATTAACAAGACATTCACTTAAATGATACTTGGAATGTTTTCAA